TCTGTAAATAGAAGGATTTCAATTATCTAATTCAAATATCACCCGAAGCTATAAATAAATTGATCTTGAAGTTTTTGTTTTTATTTAGAAGTAATAACTAAAAGGTTAACAAAACTTTCTTTTTCTCTATTGTATATTATAGAAGTATGATGTCTTTTATTAGATTCATCCTAAATATATCTCAATAGAAATTAATCTATTATTGGATTTATTTTCAAAATATTATTGTATCACAAGGAAGTTATTATATAAACACTTTAACAACAAATAACTTCTCAGCAAATCTATTCTAAACATAGAAGGATTGATTTATATCGTTAATCACTATTCTAAAATTTTTACAAATGATAATACCAAATAGTTTAATGGTTAGAGTGATGACTTCTCAGTTCATATGTCTAAGGTTTCTAAAAGAATAACTCCTGGAAGTGTTATTATAAGTAGGATTAAAATGCTAGATGAAAATTTTTATCTTACAATAATTTTGTTGATTGTCAGTCGTGATAACTGAGTATTCAAATTGAAATAATAAAGAAAATAATCTTGTATAAAATAAATTTTTATGTAGAATTTAACGAACGAAATAAAAGAATTATAAAATTAATCTCGATTAATTAAGAAAAAGTCTTATTTTGTATTATATCATTTGACTGGATAGTTTTTCCATAGTATCGAATTCAATGAAGTTCTTCGTCTTTTTTTAATAAATAAATAAATATTTAATTTTAGCCGATAGGCGAACACAAGCAAAACGTGTAACAGCTGAACGTGGTTCTGATTTATCCCTTTCATGTACATTTCAAGATGAAGATAGTGATAAAACTGTAACACAGAAAAAAACAAAACATGTTTCATTTAAATATCTTAATTTGTTATTTTTTTTTTTTTAAAGATTGTTCAATGGCTTTATCAAAATGTAACTGATTCAAATATTAATCATCGTACACATAAAATACATTGGCGACCATTATTTCTCAATGCTCAATCATTAACACCAAGTGAAACACGTTATAGTATTCAACAAAAAATACAACAAATAAATGATACATCTATAGCTTATATAACAATATTAACATTATCAAAAGTTAATGAATCTGATGAAGGTCTTTATATATGTAAATCACTTTCACCAAAAACAATACAAATGGCTTATCAAGTACGTGTGATACGTAAGTGAAAGAATTTTAAGAAAATTTGATTTGATGTAATAAATGTTGTTGTTTTTTTTAGAAAGTCTTGATATTAATCCAACAGAAGTATTAATATCAACTGATGAAATTGGTCAATATTCAATACGTTTAAATTGTATATTAACAGATAGTCATTTAGAAGAACGTCATCATGAGATTCATTGGTGGCATAATAATAAACGAATTAATACAAATTCAAATCGACATACACGTATTACAAAAAATTTTACTCGACATTCATTTATATCAACATTATTTTATACGGATGAACCAGCTAATATTGCTGGAATTTATATGTGTGAAGCAGATCCAATAAGAAAATATATTCCAGTTGAATTAAAATCAAATCAAAGTTCAGGTATTAAAAACATTAAAAAAAAAAAGAATAAAAAAAAAATTTTTTTCTTCATTGATTTATTTTAGATTTATTAATCGATTTATATTTAATTTTCATAATAGAAATTTTATTATCGATATTTCAATGGTAGAATATTAAAAGGACAAAAGAAAATATAAACCGGTGAAATTTTTTTTCTTCTTCTTCTTTTTTTTCTTTCTTCTTCGTTTTCGTTCACCTTAAATTTGAAAATAATTGCTACTGTGTGTATTCAGTATTTTTTACTGTTTCATTTTCCTTTTTGTAGTTTTAAAAAGAAAAAAAAGAAAATTAATAAAATACCGAAGCGCCTTGTAATATTTAATTTATCGTTTTTCAAAATATTAAAAAAAAGAATTTAAATTATTTAAATTTGTAAAATAATTGATGGATTGATTTTATGAGACAACATATGCAATTGATTTTTATTGTATTACCTATGTATTTGACTGGTTTGATCAGAATTGTAAAGTTATTTATAAATGAAAAAAGTATGCCATTGAAGATCTATCGGTTTATTATATGAATAATATATTATTTTTCAGAGTTGAATGATAACATTATGAAAGATCAAAAACAAGAGAAGAAAATTACTTAGCTATGGAAATTGTTTTCAAATATATGGAACCTTATAATTTGAATATTAGTCTTTCTTATATTCTGAGTCACAAAAATCGAAAGTATTTGATGATTCAATTGTCTCGAGAAAGAAACATTCGTTTCGACTGAAACTTTCAAGAGATATAACTCTTCAACAATATGTCACTAGATTCAAGTCCTGTTAGACTTTCTTTAGTCTAATAGAAACCTACGTCATGATCACAATATGAAATCGAATAATGTTCGATAGTTGGGGATGTTCCAGCAATAACTTTATAAATACTTTATGATTTAATTGTATCTCTATTGCATAAAACATTTCTAAACTAATAACTATTTAGAAATAAGTTTTCAATGAATCTTTCAATTTCATATTGCTATTACAGTCATTTGATGATAATTGTTATAAAACTCATTAGTAGAAATTTTGATATGAATCTTTTTTGAATGAGACATTGAACGGTAATGAATGCACTCAATAGAGATCGAGATGCAGGTGTTTGATGGCGGAAACAATATTCAACTCAAATGTCACTTGCATTCTAGTCAATCAAGTTTGATTTCAATTTGATTTCTCGTGATGTATGAAGGACATAGTTACTTTTATTCATGTTTTAGGTTTATAAATAATTATTAATGGTTTGAATTCAATGGAATTAGTATTCTTTGAAATGATATAATAAGAGATTCTATTTAATTTCATTTGCAATAGATGACAGAACAACACGTATTATAAACATAAGAAAAAGTTGAACAATTACAAACAAAAATTCTGATTGTTGAAACTTTCATCCTATCAATTAATGTCTGAATCTTAATATTGACATTGTGAATCATTTTTTTTTCGTTGCATGTTTTTAACATTGGATTTTATCAACCAAACAAAAGGGAAAAATCCAATTGTTTTCCTTCATGAATGATTATATATCCATGAATATTTCAGCAAGTTGAATGTTCAGTATATTTAGCTAAATTCAAGAACAAATTAAAAATAGATTTATTAAATAGTTGCTGATTAATTTTTTATGTATTGTTGTAAGAAAAGAAATAATAAAAACCGTGTAATTTTCTTTTTTTCTTCTTGGAAGATTTTTTAAAAACTAAAGCTTAGATCATAAAACAATTTCTCTTATCTTACATAAAAGAATAAAAAACAAAAGAAATAATATTTGATTGAAATTTTGTTTTCTCTTGATATTAAATTCTTACGAGACGTCATTGGAATATAACCAATATTGACTTTACACATTTATTCTTTCTTTCAATTGACGTCATGCTAACAAAAAAAAATTCCAAATGACGAGTATTGATTTGTTCAAGTTGTTATTTAAATAATATATATATAATAGGCTATTATATTTTCTAAAGCATATTAATATTCAAATGATACGGACTGTTCCTTTTTATATTTCCAAATAAATTCCAAATCAATAAAATGACCGAAAATCCCTTTCGAATTATTGAATTAGATGAACAAAATTTTCTTCACGATTGTTTAGCACTGAAAACTTTATGTGCTATACCGAATCGAGATTCCGAACATGATGAATTTATTCAATTTTGTCAAGAAAATGATTTCTTACAATACATATCTGAATTTGAATTTCCACATCGTCCAGATGTGGCCATCCAATTGTATACTCGATCATCTGGTTTTTCATCAAAAATTATAAATAGTAC